GGAGTACTATCGGAGTACTATTGGAGTACTATCGGAGTACTATTGGAGTACTATCGGAGTACTTACGGAGACCAAAATTTACGGTAGACCTACACTACCACCTCATTGGAGACCTCAGATTTTTTCTTGGATATCCACTTTTTATCAGGTATTTTAATACTTTTTCGGAAAACCTCCATGTGTCAATGGAGACCCTCACATTTTCCTTGGACATCCAACAAGCTCATGGGAGACCCCAGCTTGGTTTCCGTCGGCAACCTCAATATTTTCTCCAGAAACCTTCTTTTTCTTTCCTTCTGAGATTGTAATCGAAATATCACAAGAGCAGGAACCAATAAGAAAATACACACGATTTGTTTCGAAAAGATTCAAATATTTCATTTTTTAAGGTTTAATAATAGATTCATAATTTTCACACCCCAAAAATCCTATGCGCGCCTCTGCAGCTTAATATATACATAATAAATAAAACTTAAAACTTGTGATCAATAAGTTTCGCCGAAAAAATGTGTAGGGGCACTTAGAAGTTTCAGACCTGTAATTTTTCTCAAAAGTAAGTGCACTGCAAAAAAACACTAATTCTTTTAGCCAAATTTATTACTTACATTTCGTATATACAAATATTTATCAAACATTTATGTTAGTGTGAGAATATGTATTTGTGTGGTCAACTAGTGAAACGTATAGTTAGGACAGAGATAATTATTTATAAACTATAATACGTAACATGATACCGTTCCATAGTGTAAGAGGGAAGGGAAAAGGGGGAAGAGGGAAGGGAAAAGGGACAAGAGTGAAGGGAAAAGGAGAAGAGTGAAGGGAAAAGGAGAAGAGGGAAGGGAAATTGAGAAGAAAGAGAAAAGGGGCAAGGGGGAAGGGAAAAGGGGCAAGAGGAATGAAAAAATGGGCAAGAGGAAAGGGAAAAAGAGAAGAGAGAAGGAAAAAGGAAAAGATGGAAGGGAAAAGGAGAAGAAAGAGATAAGGGGCAAGAGGGAAGGGAAAAGAGCAAGAGGGAAGGAAAAAAGAGAAGAGAGAAGGGAAAAAGAGAAGAGGGAAGGGAAAAGGGGAGAAAACAGTAAAAAGGGAAAGGAAAAAGGGAGAAGAATATATTAAAAAATGATGATGTAAGTAAAGTAAAATAAACATATTTCTTTTAATTTGCATCTTCACAAAAACCCTAAATTTAACAAACAAAAAAACAATATCAAATATGCTTCAGAGGGGAACTTGAATCTGACCTTTTTTTGGGCACTAGAACACTCAATTATACTACTAAAATCCAAAATTTTCTCTGCAAGGAAGGCTTTGCCCCTATCTGCACCCCAACTCCGCAAAATACACATTAATTTAAGGTGTGGGTTTGGGGAAAAAGTATGATTCTGAAGGGGGGGGGAATATTAGTCTTAAAACAATATACACCCCTGCATTAACGTTGGTTTTCTATTCTCATTTGTACAATGGGGCATTTTAGGCCCCAAGAAAGTTTGTTACCAGGCCCACTTAAAAGATTTTAATTCTTATTTTTTTAATTAACGTGAAATCTAAGTAAGAAAATTAGAAAGGAAGAGCATTGCTGTGTCTGGAGACTTTAAATAAACCATCAGGATGAGGACAAAACCCGATTAACAGCATTCTGAACAGATTTTATAAGTAAGTTTTGATCTCCGGATACAAAATTACAACAAAAAATATTTAGGGGAAAAAAGATCACTTTTGGGTAGGAAATATTGACATATAGTTTGCATTTACTTTCCCCCCGAGCATCAAAAATCATCTCCCTTCGGGAGNTGGGGGGGGGGGGGTATAATGAAATATATAACCTTGTTACAATCCTTTGATAAAACTGGGAATAGATCTGGTTCCTTCATATTGCTTGTATCAGTTACAGGTGGGGAGAGAAGACTACTCCTACGTGAGAACGAAATACTGGCCCCTAAATACAAATAATCCAGAAAAAGAGTACAATCCTGTTTAGGAACTTATTGCATCTTAATAATATTAATAAAAGAAAATAGTTACTAGGACTTGACCTACAGGTTGACAGGATCTGTCTCAAAGAAGAATTATAAAACGGCAATTCTGCTTAGTTAAAAAATTCAGTACATCAGTGTTTAAGCTAATGCAGGATCCAGATCAACATAAAAATTAAACAGATCCTATTAACTAGTTCACTATGTATAATTTAAATTGATCTATAAACCTGGTTCATCTCTATACTCTGACAGGTGACGAACATCAGGTTCCTCATCATCCTTCACAAAAGTCTCCCTGGCTTGACCCTTCACCTTTGGTTTCTTGTAGAAAAATCTACGAAAGTAAATTTTGTAAATGTCTATTGCCTACATTTCGAAGTAAAACACGGATTTTTATGAAAAAATTTTGAAATATACATGTTCTACTTCAGTAGAAACCATGGTCTGACCCCCATAACAATGCGACATACATTAGGACAAGTAAATATTCTTCAAATTCCACAACTATGGAAGTTAACAAATAAAATCGAGAAAAAAACGAATTATGACAGCCTTGAAATTTGAAGTTAACCAATGTTAAAAAAGGACATGTCAAATTCACAACGATACACTGTACAATTGAACTGAACATTATGTGGAAGATATCATCGTTTTTCTAGATTTCTGTTGTGAACCGGATAAGCGCATGTATAAATCCCTGAGTGGCATAGCATGTCTCTTTATACAATTCCTTCATATATAACAAATTCAAGTGGAAAGGGGAGGGGTGGGTCGGGGCTAAGAATGACATTTTTTTTTACCTGATATCAACTTTACCCATCACTGGCTGAAGATTTTTTAGAGTTGTTGTTCTGATAGTTGACCCTGCAAATTCATTTCCCATACACACCACCACACCTTCCTCGCCCTATTTAAGTACATGGTTAAAGGTGAGCTAGAAGAACTAGGAGACTCGGAACACTAGGAGAGCTATGAGAACTAGGACAACTAGGACAACTAGAAGAACTAGAACTAGGAGAACTAGGAGAACTAGGATATAGGACAACTAGGACAACTAGAAGAACTAGAACTAGGAAAACTAGGAGAACTAGGAGAACTAGGATAACTAGGATAACTAGGATGACTAGGATAACTAGGATAACTAGGATAACTAGGATAACTAGAAGAAGTAGGAGAAGTAGGAGAACTTGGAGAACTTGGAGAACTAGGAGAACTAGGAGAACTAGGAGAACTAGGAGACCTAGGAGAACTAGGAGACCTAGGAGAACTAGGAGAACTAGAAGAACTAGGAGAACTAGAAGAACTAGGAGAGTAAGAGAACTAGAAGACTCGAAAAAAGGTTGGAGGAGTTAATTATTACAAATTGGCAGGAAATATGATGTGATTCTTGAAATAAAAAAAATATGTTTTTGTGTAGAACAAAAACAAATTTTCGAAATTTTTTGGCAAAACTTTCTTAGTTTTGCTGAACAAACAATTTTCCAGTTTAACGGATAGTTTTTTCATTGAAAAAATGGTTTGATAACAATAAGATTTTTCTGAATGACAGATTTTGCTGAACGATAATTTAGTAAGAAAACAAAGGAAATAGATAGAAAAAAAAAAGATATTTTGGATATCAACCAAAGAATTTTTTGGAAGATTAAAAATAATGAACGTTGAAAGAAGAAAATTAAAAAAGCTAAACATGCTCATCTCTCGGTAGAAATGGCCTACTCCAGGCTGGAAATCCAAGAAAACTTTTACCTCTGATCCATCTCCCAGCATATCCGCCCAGGAAGAGATGACATCCTATAAGCTGTAGTACGAGGGAAACTCTTGTGATAACCGGTCACCATTCGGAATCTGTGTACAAATATTTGAAGGGAGTGTACAAGAATAATAAATATTTAAAGAACTGTCCAGGAATTTCGACCCGATTTTCCCATATTTAATGGAAGAGTTACAAAATAACCAGCTGTTCAATATTTGTTGAAAAAAACAATGCAAATTTGATCAGGATGGGCTAATGAAAGTTTAAGATTATAATACAAAGTGCTTAGTATCGGGATCTGTTGGACCCGCAAGATCTGGATTTGGATCCGGATCCTGGATCCGCACTGGAAAAAATGGATCCGGATCCAGATCCAAATCCAGATCCAGGTCATTTCTTTAAGATTTACTGAATTTTTTAACAAAAAAGTAATTTTCAAATTTTGTTTTATTTTTTTTCGCTTATTTTAGCCTAAACTTGATGAACCATTCAGAAAAAAGGAAATTTTTATAACCTCTTTTTAAAAAAATCAGATTTGAATTTTAGGAGTAAAATATTTTTTTTTTTGCAGATTTTGGTTGATATTTTACCCATTGGATCCGGCTTCGTGGATCCGCATATTTTTGAGAATCCGGATCCAGAAAGCCAAAATCTTGCGGATCCAACGGATCCGGATACTAAGCACTGCAAAACATATTTCAAACTTATTTTTCTGGATACAATTTTATTGGCAAAACATTTATTACACTTTTAATCAGTAAAAAGTAAAAGACATTTAACCTGAAGGCAAACAGTAATTTTGATCTTGTTCTTCTTTATCTCGTCTTCCTAAATATATAAATTCAAATAAACTGCTTAGGATCCTTTCTATTTAGATGCAGATTTAAATCTAGATGAACATGGATATGCTACAAAAAACTTGTTTTTAATTAGCTTCAACTTGATGAACCACCAAAATATTAGAAAGATTCATGTGTTTTGAACTTTAGCTCTATAACTTCATTGGGACCGGAGATAACAAAAATCGGAACCGACGGAGGCACCTTATTCTAAATCTCTGGTCTGAGAACACGTGCCCCCCCCCCCCTTGCAGGAGTGCACAGATTGAAAGGGTGCTTAAATTACTATCAATTCAACTTTCATTTCCTTTCCCCAGGCAGTCTACAACTCTAAATACTAGATAATATTGCATTGAACTCACTTTAAAAAAAGAGATTAAGAAAAGAAGTTAACTTATTTTTTGCAAATTCCTTATAAAATATTAAGCATAACATTTTGAAATTTCAAAAGCAGGGTGATAAAGTTACTTTTTCGAATGAAAATTAAGGTGTGACAAATTTCATCGGAATTAAAAAATATTTTAGAATCTTACTGACTTAATTAAAGCATTTAATGAAAAAAGCTTTAATTAATACTGCCTTCAGTGTGAACATGCATTTCATATCATTAGTTAAACTGCAAAGGAGTGTCTGATGAGTGTTATAAAAACAATTTATTTAAATTTGAAATATGGAAGTGTGTAAGAATGCCGAATAAAATATATATTTCCTTAGAAAAATAGTTGAAGAGGTTCAAGTTTTTTTTCAAAAAAAGGGGGTTTTAACAGGCACAAAAAAAATTTGCGCGCTTACACGCTCCATATGTGCCTCCCCCCACCCCATACAGAAAAGCTCAAGTATGTACATGGTTAAAGGCTTACCTTTACATTTTCAAAATATTTTCCCCGTATAAAATCTGCTCCAGACTTTTTAATTGATGAACCTTCATCGGGTGAACTTGCGGATTCTACAATATGAATAATTATCTCTCCAGTGTAGAAGGATTGATATTCACGCCTTAATTTTAAGCTCTAGCAGAAATCAATAAAAAGAGAAGTGGTGTAAGTAAATTTCTAGTTTTTCAGATATAATCAAATTAAGTAAATCAATTAATTTCTCAAATTCACTTTTTAACTCCCCTCAAATATTGTTATCATTCACAGTGATGGGAACAAAAATAATATTGGAAAAATGGAGGGGGGGGGGGGAGGCATTCTCAATGAACATCAACACAAATTTATCTCTGGCATGGCAAATTTTATTTTTCCAACAGGATAACCTTTTCCTTCAAGAAGCTGCTGAGTTATGGATACAAACTTCTTCTTAATCACTGGCCTAAAAAATTTTTAATCATGAATTTAAGAGTTAAAAATTCTAATCTTAGGAAGTCTAGTTATTTAATAGTTTTAAATCATTATGGATACTTAATACCCTAACATCTAATTTCAATAATATTTTATATTATATTATATTTCAAAAGAAAAAAGCAACTCTGAACAATTCTTACAATTTTGTGTTTGACCGACTAACTTTCACCAAATTTATTATTATATATTTATCATTACTTTAGGGTAAGGTTAGGTTAAAAGAATTTCAGCTGGGGCTAGGACAGCTAGGGGGCCGAGTGGATTGCTGTGGCTAGGACAAGTTCGGAGGCCGGTACCATGCATGGAGCGGACTGTTTTACACATTTCAATACAATGGTTAACATAAAAGCCATGTTATAACATTTTCCAAAATTTATTAGTATATTTCGATTTGGAAAACACATTA